AGGGAAACAAATCCCTTTGAATAATGTGAGCAGCATCAGCCAAGAGCATCCTTTGCTACGGGCAAAGGGAACACAGCATCCATCCCCCTTCCCCAGCATCAGTCTGACTCATCCACACACCAGCATTAGCAAAACACGTGGCGCAGTCATGACAATCTGTCCCCGGAGCTGTTGAGTTGCATTTGGTGGCTGCTCACTTTGTCTCTGCCTGGAGCCATCCCTGAAGGACAGCCAGCCTTGGGCTGTGTTTGGCCATTTGTTTTGCAAAGAAACATTTCTGGTATACTTGTTGTTGGATGTTTTCTGAGCGATGTTTCTCCCCTCACTGCCTTTCAGACTCTGCCATAGGATCTTGGTCTAGAGTCCTAGAGGTGAGGTAGGTGTTTTGTCTGCTTTTGCTGTTCTCCCCCTTTGGGCTTTCCAGCTCAGACTCCTTCCCATGATACCCAGCCCCAAGACACCAATGCCCAGTATCTAGCGGTACCGTCAGGCTGCGTTTTGTGAAAAGGAGTACCTGGAGTGAGACTGGAGCAGAAGAAATGCTATTTCCATCTCACCACGGGTAGTGGTTTTGTGAGTGATGCTGGAACTTTAGAAGAAAAATAAAAATTTTCCACAGAAATGACCTGAGATCTCAGTTTTCTTTAAAATACCCCACTGTGATGGAAATTCTTTCACCAGAGCTTGTTCTTGACTATCAACTATGCAACAGCCTTCCCTCCTCCTGTCTTCCTTCGTGCCCATGGGTCACGGTTGCATGTAGGTTCCTCCTGCTCCAGGGAGCATCTGAGAGAAGACATGGCTGGTGCAACTCTTTTGTCCCTGCGTGGCACAAAGCTGAGAGTGTCCTCCTCTGACTTGTTTTTATCATAAATTCTTGCATGTGGGAGCAATTATAATTGTGAAATTACAAAAAAGCCTTCAAGAAAGTAGCAAAGGCAGACAATTTGCAGGTATTTTTTTTCCTCCCTCCCTCCTCCCCTACAACTCCTATTTTAAAAATCTGACACAGCAACAACTCACAGGAACGTTTTAGACAGATTTGTGCATGTATTTGGTACAAACAAACAAAAATATGTGCATTCTGTTTCACAGAGCTTACATCAATCTGACAGAACCTGAATCACAAAACAGATATACTCTGGCTAATAAATACATCTGGAGATGAAAAATAAAAATCTATACATAAAAAATTCCAATGTCTGCTAAAGAAAATGTACACTTATATACACACTGTAAACAATAGTAATGCAACCCAACTGCAGTCCAGCTCAGGCTGACAGAGACCTTCCTTTCCCCTAAAGTAGGAGTCTTGAGAGTCTGCTGACGTGAAAGCTGTTCGCCATCCTACACACTTGGTTTGTCGAAGCAGCGAGGTCTGATGATGCAATAGTGACACAAAGCCAGCGCGATGAGGTGAGAGCTGCTGGATAACCAAGGTATTGAGTGCTTTGGGAAATGGTCTGCTTGGCAATTTTGGAGAAACGGGGCCATACCCTCGGCTGGTCACACCCTTGTGGGTCCAGAGGAGTCAGCAGGATCACATCAAATTTACCACATGAGGGTCTGAGCCTGTTTTTCCAAACTTGGGAGAGCTTGGAGATTAAGGGAATCGGAGGGAAATGCACAATTTTAGATATTCAGGTCATATTTCATACAACATTGCCCTTCCTCCCCTGCCAGCAAAGGCTGCCCTGTCCTCTCTAAATGAAGCTCTACAAGAACAGCATCAGACTCCAGTCCTGGCATTGCCCCTTCTGATGCAAGATGCTGAATGAAAGCGGGGCCCTGGCTTCGGTGAGAAACAACTATTTTGCTCGAATGCAGCACAGCAGAGCTCAAGACTTTCCTACAGCACCTTCTAGGGTGTCTCTCAGGGACTGATCAAATGCAGTCACAGCTGCAAAGGAGGAAAGTAAATGAGACATTTTTATGTGTGTGCATGCATATGTGTGCTTAAACAGACTTTAACCTCATTTTCTTTCCTGTAAACCATTGGGATGGAGAGGGTGTAAACCCCCAGATTAAACTTTCTTTCCCTTCTGGATGCATTCAAGGGGCTGGAGGATGTAAATGTAAGTATTTCAAAATTGGGGAAAAAAAAAAAGTAAGTATGTTTAAAAGATCAGGGAGAAGGGTAAGTAATAATTTCAACTCATTCTTGGGAGTGAACTATTGCCAGCAATTGTAAAAGCCCTGCAAAGTCTCTATTTATAGGACAATGTCTGCCTTGCCATTTTGAAGATGACATTTACGTATATAAAGGTAGTAAAGTACGTGTGTGTATCTGTATGGTCATGGATGCACGTGCCACTATGCGTGTCTGGCTTTGGAGAGACACCAGAAAAATCTGCTCCTGAGCACCGCAGAGCATTTATTGGCAAATGTCCATCTTCCCCCTTGACTAGACTTTCACTTCTGATAATGTCTGTATCAGCTCGTCCTGCACTGTGCCCCCAGATTGCTTACATGACGTACTTGCATATGTTACACCTGTAAAGCTAGAGCAGGGGACAAAAATGCAGAGCTGGGTGCATTTAGTCCCTCCGAGAGTGGCATGTGTGCATGTGCGTCCCTGGAGATGGGCAGAAGGAGGGAGGATTAGTGCTTTCACCCTGACCTTGCAGGCATCTCTGCTCTTCAGTGACTGCCCTCTCCCTGATGCCTTGTCTGCTACATCCCCAGGGCCAGCAGCGTGTGCTCCCGTCAGGATCCCAAAACCATGTGGGAAAACAGTGGCAGCTGCAGTCCTCACACTGCAAAACAACTTTCTGTGTCACCCTGTCACCACCGTAGGGTCGAACTTCCCTTGAAGGCCAAAGAAATGGGGAAAAAACCCATGCCTTTCCCCACAGAGGTTCCCATAGGGTAGTGGGCCCTTGCTTTGGTAGGGTTGAACCTCTCACGCTGGCAACCTCTGACAACTGATTTTGCAGATGCTTTTCACCTGCAAAAATACAGGCAGTAAGGAGTCTGGGTTCCTGCTGCCCATGTGCCTTGGCAGGCTTCGCTGCTGCGAGGGAAATATTTGGACAATATCTACGGGTTTTTGTGCAGTAATTCATCTAGTTCTGAGTCCTACGTTGAGTAAAGGGCAGAAGGGTGTTAACAGTGTTGGGACAGGGCCGACTCCAGATATCATGTCTCAGATTTTTTTTGTATCAATGTTTTATCTCAATCTTCTTTGTATCATGTACAAAAAAGTAACAAACAAAAGAAGTCCAACTTTTCCTTTGTTTCAGTTTCCCTTAAAGCAAATAAACAGCAGAAAGAAAGGAAACATCCTCTTTGCTACGCCAAGGAGCCTTTCATCTCCTTTCACAGCCATCCTTGAAAGGATTAGCTAGATGCGCCGTAGGCACATTCATGAAAGACTCCTAATGGATTTGGGGGACAGTGCTGATGTGGATGAGTTTCCATCCAGGACACGTTCAGTGTCATGTCTCCACCCCTCGACTTCATGTTCTGTTCTTTACTCACCTGGCTGGAGACACTGCACCTCAGATCCAGAATATGCTTCCATCGCCTACATGTCTCCTGCCTCTGCCCACAGCTTAATCTGATGATGTCTCTTCGTGACTCATTGCCTATCTGAAGTTAGATAAAACCATTGCTTGAAATACATGGACAAGCAGAGTTTGGGTGACCATTTTTTCTGAGTTGCAAAACACAGTTTGTGTGAGCCTGGCTGAGGTGGGCCTGTCATGGCTCCAGTCTCCCTGCAGTCCCCAGAGAAGGCCATGTCACCCTTCTGAGGTGAGCTCACACTCTGGGGCTGTGAGAAAAGCAAGTAACACCCTTGTTGACATTGCCTTACCATGCTAGTGGACATAACCAAGGGCAGCTGGTTAAAACTGGTCAAAGCCGCCAAAGGCTTTGATGTATCAGGCATGTGGGAAGCCTCTTGAGAGAAGGGGCATGATCATGACCCTGACTGGGGAGGAGATGCATCTACATGAGGGAGCTCCAACTGCACATCAGCTCCATTTTAGCTTTGACCCTATGGGTAGCAGAAACAGGCCCCAAACTCAGCCATCCCACCTATCCTGAGTGACAGCACACGTTGAGTATGGACCTGAGCAAAGCCCCTAGGACGCACCTTTATTCCATGTTGTTTGAGGGAGACAACAACAAGAGCAAGAAAGGGAGAGATAAAGGTTGAGGATGGCCAACACCAAAAGGAGTCTCTCTCTCTCTGTATCACGGAGGGATAAGCACTAGAGCAGGGTGGGTTGCAAGTGTTTCACTGCAAAGTGAAATGAGGAATGCATCACAGGTTGGACTTAGAGCAGAGAGACCACACATCCACTGGCATCAGTGTACAAGTCTGGACTGCTCCTCTGGTCTAAAACCAGGTTAGGTGGAAGGGGAAAAGCTGTGGTAGCTCCAGGTATGATGGCTGATCCCCCCACCCTGCTTGGGAATACCACAGTCTGCTCGCTTTCCAAAGCAAAGGTCTCAGCTGGAGGTCCTGTCCAGCCCTGTAGACCTACAAGTTTCCAACCCATTATCTAATGGATCAGCTACCAACTACTGCTCGGCAGTGTCCTTTCTGGGTGCTGCCTCTGGATGGAAACATCATCATGTGTACTAAGGCAGGGTTGGTATCTTTTGGGGATTGATCTTTCCATTAGATTTTGGGGTGGTGTTTTTAAGGCAAAGGAGACATCCTGGTTTCCCTTAATTGCACATCTTCTTCCAAATTTGAAGATACCCATCCACTGGAGGAAATATCTATTGTCCTAAGGCCATATGCACCCCCCCATCTTCACTTCCTGCCAAGGCTCGTTAAAATAGGATATGCCATTTGCTCTTGTTTGAGGAACACATAATACCAGAAAAGGGGTGGGCCTCCACGTGGGGGATGCTTGTGTAACCTTTGGGCAACTGCATTTTATACCTGATTGCTGCTTCCAGTCTGCCTGACAGACCCACAGATGGTATCCCTTCATGTTCCTGCTAGATACATCTAAAGAAACCATTGACAGCTGTTCCAGTGTTCAAATATCTGTTTCTCGCAGCCCGCAGCAGTCTGTTAAGTCATAGGTTTGATAGTCAATGGTTTCCATGAAGTCGTGAGGGATCCCGATAGAGACAGACTCCACCTCTGTTTTGTAGGTGGCTGTCACCCCCCCTTTGCTGGAGCCACCCCGGATTTTGTTGGAAAGGCTGTTCATCTTCTCCTTCAGCTGGGTGGATGCTGGTTTCTGGAAAGGAGTGAGCATTTTCCAGCCCTTGAAGCTGAGTGTTCGCCTCTTACTGGCTCTCTCCTGCAAGGAGGAGTTAAATATGAACGAGCTGTTCAGGGTGTTAATCCTGGGCCTCACGTCCGTCTCAGAGTCTTGCACCGAGCTGTTTACGGAGGCCCCTCGCCAGGGTGGCACTGGCACTTGAGCAGCCTAATGAAAGCTCGCTTGAATTCTTTGCTCGAGCAAGGGTAGATGATGGGGTTCACACAGCTGTTGAAATATCCCAGCCAGAAGATGACCTTGAAGACCATTTCGGAGGGCTTCAGAGAAGGGAAGAAAGAACCTTGGAGAGATTAAAAGAAATATCGTTAGAGGAAGGGGAAGGCTATGGCAGTGCAGGGTAGCAAGGGTTGCGGTCAGCCCAGTCTGGAAGAGGCGAGACCTGCAGAAAAGGATGAAGATGTGATTCTGCTATTACATTCTTGGCTAGCAATGCCGTTGCCACCAGAGCAAGGATCTGGGCACTGCAGGAAAGCAAGACATTGACCCTAAAGTGATAATGATGGATAGTACTATGTCTTTGGCAGAAGCCTCCAAGCCCTCACTGCAAAAGATTTCTTAGCAATGGAACCCAGCACCCTCCAATGCAGCTGCGAGCCATCATGGGAAGGCCATACAACTTGAGGGAGGCTGTTAATTGTTACAGGAGCTACACAAGTATGAGGGATGGTGAGGGTGGAGTATTTTTCTCACACCTCTTTCTGGAAAACCATCCAGCTAACCCCACTGCATCCAGCATGCACTGTGTTTTTAAGGGGGTCCAGTCCAAAGAAGAAAGTCCTGATGCAGGACCCAACAGCCCCATGCCCAAATCTGTTTCCCTCACTGTGGGTTCAGCCATCCTGCTCTGAACTGATGCAGGAGACTTGCACCCAAGAGGTATCTTTCATATGTGGGGGGCCGGGCTGCTTTCTGAGACCCTGCAGCAGAGGCTGAGGGTATAATTTTGGGGAACAGGTTCAGAGGACCCTATGCCTTCCTGGTTTATCAGCAGAAGGCAGCTGAGACCTGTCCCATTCTAGATCACAGAGAGAAAATTGTTGCTCAACTGGTTTGCGGGGATTAGTTCTTGGTGCCTGCCTCTTCCTATGTATTTCACCGCACAGTTCATCACTGCAAATTAAAAGGGTGGATACAGCCCTGTCACCTGCCCTGATGGTACAGCAACACCCCTTCACCTTCTACGCTCATGCATTTTAGGTCATCAGCGTCACACATCCTCTGTTCAAATTTTGCAGTGATGCTAAGGTGCGCTCGCATAATATCCATTGGTCCAAACTTGTATCTGCTACCTGAAAGCGCTTTTGTCCTCCCCAACTCCTATTTATACTTTTGTGCTGGAGGTACCCGGTGGTTTTCTTGGTGAAAGAGTGGGAGACTTTTCCTGCAGCCAGAAGATGTCAGTGTTGCTCCCACATGGCCACATCACTTAGCATTCCCCACTCAGATCTGAAATAACTTTCTGACTCAGCCTTAATTTCTTTTAATTTTAGCTCTGGATGACAAATCATGCTGCCATGTGACTGAGAGTTAATTTGTATTTGAGTAAATAACATTAGCTCTGGATATCATTATTATTTTCTCTGTGCTTAAAAGCCTGGTGTCAAAACAGTAAAACAGGTGCCAGAAGCCAAAAATTTGGGACTGACACTACATAAAAGCACCCCAAGCTGTTTTCTGGAGAAAAAACATCATCCAGGAAACCCAGAGCACTTGTTTCAGCAAGACTTTCTTGCACCCATCTCTAAAAAGTGCAGAAATTACAGCCAGACTCAGCATTAGGTACGTGGGCTACTCCATCACGGAGTCATGGTATAATAAAGATAGATCTCAGCATATTTCTGATGGTTAAGCAGGGAAAGCACAGATGCAGCCATGCAGCTTAAATATCTGCCGAAGGCCAACCCAGGTCATAGGGCTGGAGTACACGCTGGCTGTCAGTATGTGCTGAAGGAGGCGTTGAACAAGGACAGTAAGCAAGGACTGACATCTCTGTGCTGGAAAGATCTGAGTCTTTCGTGGAGTTAATGGCATTTGCAGTTTAGTGAGCAGCCACTGGTGTTGTAGCCCGTGGCTTTGAACCATGGGCACCAGGGTCAGTGCTGAGGTAATGACCGCACCTTGGTTGTTTTTGATTAAAGGGGTTTATTTCTTCTGGGACAGTGGAGAGCTTCATAGGTTGGCACTAGGCTGCTTGAATCACCATACCCAATTCTAACCACAGCAGAAACACCACCACTGTGTGTTTAGCCAGGAGCTTTTAAACACCTCATAGGTGCTGAGGACAGTCCCATTTTGCACTGCATGTAGCATCTCCTCTGTCCTCCAGCTGACCACAGAATTCAGCCTCCCCCCTTTCTTGTGCTGGCCCCAGCCCACCACCCTGGACCTACAGGCACCATCTGATGCTTTGGGGAATGCGCACCAGCTGTGGGTTTCCAGACTCAACATCAATCCCTCTCCTCAGTCTCAAGTTTGGCAATGTTGGATGGGTTCATCTTCCTGTCCAGATTTCCCTCCTCTCCATCCTGCCTGGGGACCAGCCTCTACCCAGAGCCCTGTGCTCTCTGCAAGGAGATCCCTGGCTCTCAGCCCTGTGATGCTGCGTGGTCCAAGCTTGACCCTGCCACAGCTCAGTGTGAGCATTTGGGTCTAATACAGGTACACTAAGCATGTCATTCTGCTCACACCCTTGTTGGGGAGGGGTTCCATGCCCCAGTTTGCCCACTGGAGAATGGGACTAATTACCAGAGTCTCCTTCGTGGTGTTTTTGTGAACCCTGTTTGCAGTGCGTGCTGGGTTCTCAGAGGAGCTGCAGCTGTATGTAGCATTTTTTAACTTTAAGAGAGAGGAAAAGAAAACAAAAAGCTATGGTAACAAAGCAAACAAAAGAAGGGTCTCTTTAGAAATGAGGCTAGTAATTACTGCTTGAGCCAGGCTACTTAAGAGATTGGTGCTTGCTTAAACAGCCTGACGGTTGTTAAAATAATAATTTCTATCTAGTGTTTAGCAGTTCATTGCACAATGCAGTTTCTGTACTACACGCTTTGTCCTTTGCATCCAGATAAAACCATAAAATGAAAAGAAAAAAAAAGCTGTGAATTCCCTGAATTTCAACTTTGGCTGGGTTTCACCCACTAGAACCTGGAGTACATCTGAAGACAAGGGTCTCATTATCATGCTCATTACCATGCAAATAAGCATGCCCCTTGGAAGAGACGTGTACTGAGTGCATCCACAGCTTCCTCATTTGATCACGCTGGGATGAACAGAACTAGGCAGGGAGTGACCAGAACAGGTTCTTGGCTGGTCACTTTGAACATGCTGGAGCATCAGACTCTCTTGATAAGCACTGGAAAGCTGCACGTGAGGAAGAGTGGTGGGGTTTTATTTAGGGAATGAGTAAAGTATGGAAGAAAGCAGCTCTTGCTTTCATGCACAAAAATATCAACAACATTTTGAGACAGGGAGGGGTTTTGAAATGAGCTTTGTAGCAGTTACTACATAGAAGCATGGATGTTTGGATGCGTGGAACACAGTGCTGAGTAATGGACACTTGAAGAGCTCAGGAAACACAGTTGGATGCTTCCAAGGTCCAGAAATAGAAAATGGGAGTAAAACATCAGGCACAGGAACTCAGAGTGACGCACCAGCACTTTAGCCTGATGTCGAAGTGTAAGAGCACTTTTTGATGATCTGTCCCTAGAAGCATCAAAGGCAGAACAGGGCAATATCAAAGAACAGGAAGCCCAAATGCTGTAGGCCCTGTGTCACAGTACAAGTTAGTGAAACCTGGTCTTGTTTCAAAGGGGAGATTTTGCTGCTCACTCAAATTCAGCCCTCTGGACACCCAACTCAACACTTCAAGGCAAAGCTTCATGTGCTTTCCAAAGGAGGAGCTGCTGACACCCACCTTGGGGCCATATACCCATGGAGTGGTCTTGGTGTGGTGAGCAGTGACACTGAGTGCAGCATATGTGCTGGGATCCAGCAAGCCCCTGTAGTGCTGGAGCATCTGGGACCCCAGAGACCTCACAGGGAGAGGACAATGGAGACTCAGCTTGCCCTTGCTCTGCTTGAATGGGACTGCTGCTTTTGGAGGTAGTGCTCTCAGCAGGGCAGTCTCTGTCCAACCTAACCACATCCACATGTGAAATGCAGAGACAGCCTGGGGAGTAGGGACAGACCTCTGAGGTGTTCCTTCTCCACCCTGACTGTCTACCCAGTGATGCTCGCTCTCTTGGTGGATGGAGGATCCTTGTTTTGTCTTGGAGTAGGATGATCCCAGGTAGGGTGGGATGCAGACCTTCCTCCTTCATATTTCCCACTGCCTTGTTGGGAAGACTCCATGTTGGCTTACGGAGATCACGCTGAGGACTTTGTTTTCTCCTAATAAATACAAATTTTGTAATAATACAGCTAGGGGGCTTGAAAATCCTTCTGGGTCTTTATTCTTTTCAGCATTTTATAAAAGGTCATTCCACATCTTGCAGAATCTGAATCATAGCGATAGAGCTGGGTCTGAGCAAATACCACAAGTCCTGTTGTAACTCTAGACAATTATCTTCAAGATCATGAAGAAATTAAAAAAGCTGCAGGTGAGCTCAGGGAAAGCCTGCCCCCATTGTGCAAAGTGACTGGACTCAGTCTAAACATGAAACGAAGATGGAAATTTCATTTTTTTGGCGGTGCAAAAGTTGAGCCTATAAAGTGTGTGCTCTGAAGTGAAAGCAAACAAGTAATTGATTTGGTGTTCTTACAGTGTGCGTGTATGTGTGTGTGTGCACATGTTTGTATGCTGTGTGTGCACCTACACATTTTTTTTCCCATAGGTAAAGCCACCCCGCTCATATCCAGGAAAAAACCCAGCCAGCTACAAATCTCTGAAGCCATGGGCATGCTCCCTGAAGCTGTGACACCCTGCATTGGGTGGTTAGTGGATGTAAACTCCCATCTCTGTATCCAAACACACACCCATTTTTTTAGGGTGTTTGAGCAAGCACAATCTCATGATCTTTCCTTGTCTGCACTTCTCCACCCTGCACCCCTATGACTCACTCCAAGGTGATATCACTGGGTTGTTTGAGGAGTTGCTGGTCCCGGTGTTCAGTGCTCAAAAAAATAAAGCAAAACAAGAAAAAAGACAAATGCACAAATGAAAATGGACCCAGTCCAATCTAAATTCTGGCCCCGGCTCCCAGTACACAGTTAGAATCTTTGAGCAGGCTTTCTTTCTGCCGCAGTTGGCAGAGGGATCTTTGTTTTTAAAGGTCCCTGCTTTAT